TAAAGCCATCATAAAAAACATGATAAAAACCATGATAAAGCCATGATAAAAACAATGATAAAAACCATGATAAAACCATGATAAAACCATGATAAAACCATGAGAAAACCATGATAAAGACCATGATAAAACCATGATAAAGCCATGATAAAACCATGACACAGCCATGATAAAACCATGACACAGCCATGATAAAACCATGATAAAGCCATGATACAACCATGATACAGCCATGATAAAACCATGATAAAGCCATGATACAACCATGATACAGCCATGATAAAACCATGATAAAGCCATGATGCAACCATGATACAGCCATGATAAAGCCATGATAAAGCCATGATAAAACCATGACACAGCCATGATAAAACCATGATAAAGCCATGATACAACCATGATACAGCCATGATAAAGCCATGATAAAAAAAAACATGATAAAACCATAATAAAGCCATCATAAAAAAACATGATAAAAACCATGATAAAGCCATGATAAAAACCATGATAAAAACCATGATAAAACCATGATAAAACCATGATAAAACCATGAGAAAACCATGATAAAGACCATGATAAAACCATGATAAAACCATGATAAAACCATGACACAGCCATGATAAAACCATGACACAGCCATGATAAAACCATGATAAAGCCATGATACAACCATGATACAGCCATGATAAAACCATGATAAAGCCATGATACAACCATGATACAGCCATGATAAAACCATGATAAAGCCATGATACAACCATGATACAGCCATGATAAAGCCATGATAAAAAAAAACATGATAAAACCATGATAAAACCATCCCTGAGGATCCATGCGCATAAATAGGGTCAAATCGGAAATGCATGCAAATAATGAAGTCATTTCTGATGATCGCAAATAGCGCGCGCATTGTCGAAATGTAAAAGTCGGAGATTGCATGTTATCGGCATGACAAACCGTGACAAACCGTGACAAACCTTGACGAACCGTGACAGAAGACAAAAAACTATACTCAAATCTTGGGCATTGTCGGAAAACGCCGTGACAGACCGTGACAAACCGTGACAAGGTCAGCGGCTATTCCCCATAGACTGTCGGAATTTATCGGAAATCAATCGGAAAATAAACTGTCGGAAATGCATGCAAAAATCATGGTCAGACCGCAAATAGCATGGTCGGACGCTCTGAGAGCGTGCATACCCAAATGCATGCAAATAGTCCATACTTTGGATCCTCGGGGCATGATAAAGCCATGATAAAACCATGACACAGCCATGATAAAGCCATGATAAAGCCATGATACAGCCATGATAAAGCCATGATAAAGCCATGATAAAACATAATATACAATTTTTGTTTCCCGGCTGCCGGCCGGTTGCCGGCCGCTGGCCGGCCGGCTGCTGGCCGGCACCAGCACCGCCGACCGGCCGGCAACGAGCCGGCCAGCGGCCGGCAACCGGCCGGCAACCGCACGGCCAGCAGCCGGCCACCCTTTCGGCATGCAACGCGGGCCACCCGCTATGGAAACAAGCTATACTATACTTGGTGGATGGTTTTGGTCTAAAGCATTTGCAAGTAACATGCAACCTAGTTGTAAAGTATTCACAACCTAGTGTAAGTTAAGCTAAGTAAGCTAAGTTTTTATCTTATTTTACGCTAGCTGTAAGTATTTACTAAAGATAAACTAGATAGTTAAGTTTTGTAAGTTGTTTTGGAGTTAACAAAAGCCAGCCAGAATAACTTCTAAGCAACTTAGGAAATTTAACTTCTTTTTGGAATTTAAGAGCTATTTTTTTTGGTCTTGCCTAAGACATTAGAACTTGTCTGTTGGTTTCTTTTGAGAAACACAATATATATATAATGTTTTCATTCTCTTGAGTTGTCCGGTTTCCACATCTGCCATGTTGCAGCTAGATCCGCTGTCACTTCTTTTTGATGTTGTATTCAATCTGTTTGTTGAACCTGCCAAAAGTTAGGCCAGCTTCTCCGACATTGCAACAGCTTCTGCGAAGCGCAACACTACTTTGAAGACGTTGACGAACCATTTCAATTGCTTCTATAGGTTACTTCCACCTAAGCCCGTACAACATCACATTCAACATTCACTGAACTCCATGCCCCTTTCGAATGCATTGTATGTCCAACTGCGATTCTGCACCAGCCCGATTGTAAATACGCAACTTCCCGTATTGTGCAACTCCGCTTGTGCAACGCGGGTCTCCGGATTGCGCAACTGCGCACGCCCTCCCTACTGGGAGGTACCCCCCTAGTTACATTAGTTATAAGTCGCGCAACTTAACTTATAACATAGGTTAAGTAGCTTATAAGTTGGAGTAACTTACTTATCTTCTGTTGGAACTTACATCTTAGATGCTCCAGATAGAATAATTATATGTTAGTTATAAGTTCGAGCCTTAAAACTTAGTAAAAAGTTACGGAACTTAGCCTTTTTTAGTTGATTTTTCATTGATTTTTTGAATTCCGTATGTTTTCGTAGCCAGAAAGACTCTTTTTCACTGCATTGCAGTTTTCTTGCCCAAAAACAGGTTTTCGATTGATTCATTTGTCTTTTCAAGGTGAATTTGGCGAAACTTTGCGGTTGTTCGCACCATGCATTTTTTAGTCATCTGCGGTTGTCCGCTCTGTTGCTTTGCTTGAGCCCTCATCTTGGTCTGTTCAAAAGTATGCCATATAGTTTATATATATATATATATGTGCAAGAACCTGTACATAAATTTGTATATGCACATGTTATTCAACCGATATCATAGTTACAAAAAGTAATATCATATATAGTAGCTGCTGCGTGGTTTCTTTAACAACAACAGCGACGAGAGAACGAAAGGAGAAGTAGAAGAACGGATCATCTTGCTGCTGCGCTGTTTCTTGAACAAAAACAGCGACAAAAGAAAGAAAGGAGAAGTAGAAGAACGGGTCATCTGGCTGCTGTGTTGTTCATTGACAATAATAGCGACGAAAGAACGAAAGGAGAACGAGAAAAACGGGCGAGGGACCTAGCATGCCCAACATGGGCCTGATTTAAATCCCCAAATGACATGAACGCAAAAAGCATCATATGACCCAACATGGGCCGAACAGGAAACAAAATGCTCAAATCAAAATTTACAAATCATGTTACCCACATCAAACCACAGATTTCCACAGATTTCCACCGTTGTGGAAATTTGTGGGTGGCTGTGGGTGTAGTCTTGGCTAAAGGCCACCCACAGATTTCCACAGATTTCCACTGTTGTGGAAATCTGTGGGTGGCTGTGGGTGTAGTCTTGGCTAGAGGCCACCCACAGATTTCCACACATTTCCACCGTTGTGGAAATCTGTGGGTGGCTGTGGGTGTAGTCTTGGCTAAAGGCCACCCACAGATTTCCACAGATTTCCACCGTTGTGGAAATCTGTGGGTGGCTGTGGGTGTAGTCTTGGCTAGAGGCCACCCACAGATTTCCACACATTTCCACCGTTGTGGAAATCTGTGGGTGGCTGTGGGTGTAGTCTTGGCTAAAGGCCACCCACAGATTTCTACAGATTTCCACCGTTGTGGAAATCTGTGGGTGGCTGTGGGTGTAGTCTTGGCTAGAGGCCACCCACAGATTTCCACACATTTCCACCGTTGTGGAAATCTGTGGGTGAAAGGCCACCCACAGATTTCCACAGATTTCCACCGTTGTGGAAATCTGTGGGGTGTAGTCTTGGCTAGAGGCCACCCACAGATTTCCACACATTTCCACCTTTGTGGAAATCTGTGGGTGGCTGTGGGTGTAGTCTTGGCTAGAGGCTTTCCACAGATTTCCACCGTTGTGGAAATCTGTGGGTGGCTGTGGGTGTAGTCTTGGCTAAAGGCCACCCACAGATTTCCACACATTTCCACCGCTGTGGAAATATGTGGTTTTATGTCGGTGGATGTGGGTATAGAATTTTTAAATAATACCACCTCATCCATATGAACCTCTAAAGATACAATCGATTTAGCATGAAACGATATCCGGAGCCCAAGCGGCTACGCGCTTGTGCTCAAAAACAAGAGGCACTACCAAAAAACGATGGCCTATAGAAAAGGAAGTTTGTATAGGGAAGGTTTGATTTCCAATCGCAAAATCTCTTGTTGAGGTTTCTTCTGATTTGGAGGCGCCGCTGCTGGAAATCTACTCGCCTTCGTCACGAATATCGACCTGTATTTACTACCATAACATGTGTACAGTGTGCAGTCATTTCGGAAAGCTTAATATTTATAACTATATGTGTATATACATATATAAAAAATATGTATATACAGTTTTCATGTAATGTTTATTCGCAATGACTGAAGCGAAGGAAGCAATGGAGCTGGACAAGCTGCATGGATTGCGCAGCCGACGATCGATGGCCTGGATGTTTTGTGCTTGCTGTAGAGACAAAAAAAAGGCGGTGGTCCGCACGTCCGCTCGTTGTCGGCGGTGGTCCGCACATATAGAAAAAAACGGCTGTTTGACTAAAAAAGTGGGAAAAACATTAAAAAAATACTTTACTTCGTGTGATCCCCACCATGACATTTATACATTTTGTTACTGGCAAATCTTCTGGCATTCTATCTGACATATTTTCTGGCATTCGATCTGGCATTCTATCTGGCATATCTTCTGGCATTCTACCTGGCATATCTGCTGGCAGATGTTCTGGCATATCTTCTGGCAGATGTTCTGGCATATCTTCTGGCATTCCATCTGGCATTCTATCTGGCATATCTTCTGGCATATTATCTGGCAAATCTTCTGGCATTCCATCTGGCATTCTATCTGGCATATCTTCTGGCATATTATCTGGCAAATCTTCTGGCATTCCATCTGGCATTCTATCTAGCATATCTTCTGGCATATTATCTGGCAAATCTGCTGGCATTCTATCTGGCAAACATTCTGGCACTTTATCTGGCATATCTTCTGGCATTCTAGCTGACATTCTATCTGGCATTCTATCTGGCATACCTTCTGGCATTCTATCTGGCATATCTTCTAACATTCTATCTGGCATATCTTCTGGCACTATATGTGGCATATCTTTTGGCGTGGATACTCGCGGTTGAGGTCCGGCAGGGAACACTGGGCGTGGATGGTCGTGGTTGAGGCCCGGCAGGGAACACTGGGCGGGGATACTCGCGGTTGAGGTCCGGCAGGGAACACTGGGCGTGGATACTCGCGGTTGAGGTCCGGCAGGGAACACTGGGCGTGGATGGTCGTGGTTGAGGTCCGGCAGGGAACACTGGGCGGGGATACTCGTGGTTCAGGTCCGGCAGGGAACACTGGGCCCGGATACTCGCGGTTGAGGTCCGGCAGGGAACACTGGGCGTGGATGGTCGTGGTTGAGGTCCGGCAGGGCACACTGGGCGTGGATGGTCGTGGTTGAGGTCCGACAGAGATCTGTGGATCGTGGGTCGCAGTTGGACGAGGAGGACGACGAGGAGGACGACGACGAGGACGACGAGGAGGAGGAGAGGAGATGAGGAGAGGAGAGGAGAGGAGGAGCAGGCAACTGACATAAAATCTAACAACCCTCACCTGGCAGGTGGGGAATAAGCTTTTCCAAAAATAATGCAAAAAGTAGAAAAGCAACGAGAACTATCAAAAAAACTGTTCAAAAAGCAACCAAAATTACTTTACTTCGTGTGATCCCCACCATGACATTTATACATTTTGTTACTGGCAAATCTTCTGGCATTCTATCTGACATATTTTCTGGCATTCGATCTGACATATTTTCTGGCATTCGATCTGGCATTCTATCTGGCATATCTTCTGGCATTCTACCTGGCATATCTTCTGGCAGATGTTCTGGCATATCTTCTGGCAATTCTTCTGGCATATCTTCTGGCATATCTTCTGGCATATCTTCTGGCATATTATCTGGCAAATCTTCTGGCATTCCATCTGGCATTCTATCTAGCATATCTTCTGGCATATTATCTGGCAAATCTGCTGGCATTCTATCTGGCAAACATTCTGGCACTTTATCTGGCATATCTTCTGGCATTCTAGCTGACATTCTATCTGGCATTCTATCTGGCATACCTTCTGGCATTCTATCTGGCATATCTTCTAACATTCTATCTGGCATATCTTCTGGCACTCTATGTGGCATATCTTTTGGCGTGGATACTCGCGGTTGAGGTCCGGCAGGGAACACTGGGCGTGGATGGTCGTGGTTGAGGTCCGGCAGGGAACACTGGGCGGGGATACTCGCGGTTGAGGTCCGGTAGGGAACACTGGGCGTGGATGGTCGTGGTTGAGGTCCGGCAGGGAACACTGGGCGGGGATGGTCGTGGTTGAGGTCCGGCAGAGAACACTGTGCGTCGAGGGTCGCAGTTGGACGAGGAGGACGAGGAGGACGACGAGGAGGAGGAGGAGAGGAGGACGAGGCAGGAGGAGGAGGCAACTGACATAAAATCTAACAACCCTCACCTGGCAGGTGGGGAATAAGTTACGGAACTTATAACTTAGTTATAAATTCAGTAACTAATTTACAAGTTACTTGCTATAAGTTACTTATAATTTCATTCCAACTAACTTATGTTTTGCAACTTAGTTATAACTAGAGGGGACCTCCCAGTATGATCGCATGCCGACCCTTGTGGGGCCCCATGAACTTCAAATTGACCTTGAATGTGTACAAGGGTAAGAAGATATCCAAATCCCACCCCCATGGAATTTCAAATTGACCTTGAATGTGTACAATGGTAAGAAGATATAAAAAAATCCCACCCCGTGGAACTTCAGATAAACCTTTGAGTGTGTACAATGGTAAGAAGATATCAAAATTCCCACCCCCATGGAACTTCAAATTCACATTGAGTGTGTACACCAGTAAGAAGAGATCAAATTTCCCACCCCCATGGAACTTCAAATTCACCTTTGCGTGTGTACAATGGTCGGAAGAAGATATGAAAAAAAATGCACACCCATGGAACTTCAAATTGACCTTGGAGTGTGTGCAATGTTCAGAAGATATCAAAATTCCCACCCCCATGGAACTTCAAATTGACCTTGAGTGTGTACAATGGTAAGAAGATATCAAAATTTCCACCCCCGTGGAACTTCAAATTAAATTGACCTTGAGTGTGTACAATGGTAAGAAGAGATTAAAAAAAACACCCCCGTGGAACTTCAGATAACCTTTGAGTGTGTACAATGGTAAGAAGATATCAAAATTCCCATGTACAATGGTAGGAAGATATCAAAATTCCCACCCCCATGGAACTTCAAATTCACCTTTGAATGTGTACAACGGTATGAAGATAACAAAATTACCACCCCCATGGAACGTCAAATTCACCTTGAGTGTGTACAATGGTTAGAAGATATCAAAATTCCCGACCCTATTGACCTTGAATGTGTACAATGACAATGAAAAAGTTATACAAATTCCCACCTCATGGCATTTGAATTTGATATTGAGTGTGTACAATGGTAACTAAGAAGATATCAAAATTCCCACCCCCACCAAAATTGAAATTGACCTTGAGTGTGTACAATAGGGTTTTTTCTTTTTCAACTTTGACATGGCATGCAAGTGTCAACCTCGGCCTGTGGCACTTGGAGATCGGATTGATACTTTCTGTTGTTTTCTACATGATATGAGTTTCTCCTGCATGGACTTTCAGAATCCCAGCAGGGAGTTTCATGATCTGATTTCTGGGTTTCAAAATCCCTCTTCAGAGTTTCACAATCTGGTGTTAGAGTTTCACAATCCCCCCGGCAGAGTTTCACAATACGATTTCCCAGTTTCACAATGCAAGTTTCACAATACGACCTGCAAGTTTCAGAATACAACCTCCAAGTGTCACAATCCAAGTTTCAGAATCCATTCTCCACATTTCGCAATCCGATCGCCAAGTTTCACAATCCGACGTTGACCTGTTCACCAAGGGTTTCTTCAAGGTTTCCTTTGAATATCTTGATGGTTCCTTGCATTTTTCTTCAGGTTCCATTTAGTGCATGTTCAAAGTTTTTTGCAAAGTTTCCTTCAGGTTTCTTTCCATGTTTCTTGCGCGTTTGTTTCACGGTGTCTTGACGCGTTTCTCTTACAATTTCTTTGCGGGTTTCTTTTAGTTTTCTTGCACGGTTTCTTTTAGTTTTCTTGCACGGTTTCTTGACGGTTTCTTTCTGGCACGCATTTTTTCGACAGCTTCCCCCGATCGAGGCCCGCAACCGCGGAACCACAGACCTTATTTTCGCGCCCCTAAGAGCCACCTATAAAAATACATAGTTTCGCACCCGACAATGTGTTCACCCGCAAATTCAAACGCTGCCAGGCTTTTTCATTCTTCAACTATTCCAGGTTGGGGGTTGGCATGATGATGCGGTTGACATGTCCATGTTAAACATGGCTACCCGTCCCTTATTTGGAAGTTTCCTAATTACTTAACTTTCCCAACCGGCACCTGCCGGCAACCGGCACCGGCCGGCTACCGGCACCGGCTGAGGCCACAGGCACCGGCCGGCAACCGGCCCGGCCCGGTCACGCGGTATATAGGCCCGGCACAGGCCGGCACCGGCCGGCAACCGGCACCGGCCGGCAACCAGCCGGCCACCGGCTGCACCTTCAGACGTACGGCCCGGCACCGGCCGGCACCGGCCGGCAACCGGCACCGGCCGGCCGCCGGGTGCACCTTCAGACGTACGGCCCGGCACCGGCCGGCACCGGCCGGCAACCGGCACCGACAAACAAAGTATATAATCCCTTCCTCCTAATACTAAACCCCCCCCCTAATACAAAACACGGCAGGTAGTTTTTAGTATTAGGGGGGTATTTATTATTAGGGAACCAAATCGAAGTCATGTTAATTAATTAATTAAATTTCCTTATATAACGCAATTAAAATATTGCCAAAAATGGCAGTTCGAAGCTTACCCCTAATACTAAATTAAAACCCTTAATACTAAAAACTATTTTTTCCGATCTCAAAATCAATTAAATTTCCTTATATAACGCAATTAAAATATTGCCAAAAATGGCAGTTCGAAGCTTACCCCTAATACTAAATTAAAACCCTTAATACTAAAAACTATTTTTTCCGATCTCAAAATCAATTAAATTTCCTTATATAACGCAATTAAAATATTGCCAAAAATGGCAGTTCGAAGCTTACCCCTAATACTAAATTAAAACCCTTAATACTAAAAACTATTTTTTCCGATCTCAAAATCAATTAAATTTCCTTATATAACGCAATTAAAATATTGCCAAAAATGGCAGTTCGAAGCTTACCCCTAATACTAAATTAAAACCCTTAATACTAAAAACTATTTTTTCCGATCTCAAAATCAATTAAATTTCCTTATATAACGCAATTAAAATATTGCCAAAAATGGCAGTTCGAAGCTTACCCCTAATACTAAATTAAAACCCTTAATACTAAAAACTAGCCCCCCTAATACTAAACACCCCGGGATGAATTAGTTTTTAGTATTAGGGGGGAGAACCCACAAATGGTAGGTTGATTTTTGAATTGTTTTTTAAAGGGGATCAATTAAAAGTCAAATTGGCCAAACTGAAATTTTCGGAAATTGGAGATGGATCCCTGTTTTTAGTATTAGGGGGACGTTTAGTATTAGGAGGAAGGGATTACTCTGATAAAACCATGACACAGCCATGATACAGCCATGATACAGCCATGATAAAAACCATGATAAAACCATGATAAAACCATGATAAAACCATGATAAAACCATGATAAAAACCATGATAAAACCATGATAAAACCATGATAAAACCATGATAAAACCATGATAAAGCCATGATAAAACCATGATTCAGCCATGATAAAGCCATGATAAAGCCATGATAAGGCCATGATAAAGCCATGATAAAACCATGATAAAACCATGATAAAACCATGATAATCCTGGTTGCTTATTGCTTACCACTCCAAAATTGCTTCGCACCCAGGCCGCAGGCATCTTGGAGCTGCTGCAGGGTCGATGTGCCAAGGCCCCGCGGCAAAACCAAACCTGGGGATAGATAAACCTGTAATATATATATGTGTGTGTGTGATTGTGTGTATGTACATGTACTGCATTGTTTTTATAACTTGTTGATTTTGTTGCAATTTTCCGTTTATTTGAAGATTTGGATGTCAGCTGACAAGGGAGGTCACAATGGCAAACTGATATACATTATATTATTTAGTAATTGGTTGTTATTGTTTTCCATTTTTGAAGATGGCTCTCCGTCACCGGCTAAGGTGCATGTCACCGGCGGTTGGCTCCGGGATCGTCTTCTGGAAACTCAGGCGCCCACTCACCATAGTTGTAGGGGTTCTATCAGTAGTTATATCTGTAATATCCCAACTTATATGGATACTTATGGGTTTTATTATCATGGTTGGAAATTATCAGTTCTATGTCCCTGTGAAGTAAGTGCGATCTCATTTGTTCTCGTAAACCTCTTCTCTCTTCTTGGGGACCCCGCACTAGCGTGAGGAGTGCTTCTTAGCATCATAGTTTGAATCATAGTAATTATATGATATTTGTATATATATATATATTGAATATATATAATATATATATACACACATTATATTATAGTGAACTCTAAGACCTCAAAGAGCTGGAAATTTCTCGTTTGGACTTTAAAACCGGGAGTGGTTTTGTGGAGCTCATGGGATTCCCAGTTTTCGGTGATGGAATGGGGACCAGGAGCTGAACCCCAAAGCCCGGGTCTCATGGCAACGAACCTCGGCAGCGAAGATATCCAACGCATAGCTGTTGGGGGAAACGCACATCCAATGCATAGCTATTTTTTCGTGAAAAAATGTGGCATTCCAGGGTTCTGAAAAACCATACTTGGAGATAAGTATTGGTGAGGGGGAATCATCCTCGAAATGGTCCGATAATCTAGCTGAATTCAGGTTGCTTAATACAAGCCTAATTTGCTCAGAATCTTGGGAGGCGAGCGGTCTTTTGAGGGATTCCTGATCAAGTCCGGTTGTGACCTCCAGATAGTTGCAAGTTGTGCTCGGTCATATGTATGGTGCTTGTATAGCAAGTGACATGGGCTCACAGGGTGGATTGAATACCGATAAGCAACTGGGGCATGTACCAAGTTCCGGGATGCAGGAAATGGATGGAAATGGATGGTAGGGGTTTTTGCCAACTGGGGTTCCAGTTCTTCCCATGCCGGTCGCCCTAGAAAAAACGGCCCGGCTTGCAGACCGTTGCAGCATCCCCGTTTTTAATGCTGAGATATGCTGCGTTTGATACCACGATTGGTTAGAAAAATGGCGGTAGAAAGCAACTCAGTAGGATTAGTTTAAGCATGTTTAAAGCGCTAAACGGCTAAACGTGGTTTTCTTGAGTTTCTTGTGTTCTTTCGCTTGTAAATCAATTTATCCATCAGATCATCGATGATTGCCAGGGCGGTTCACCGACCTGAAACCACGCCTATTATGGTTTGGTCGATTGGTCGATAACCATGTTTACATGATGATTGTTAATCGTACGAACATTGGGTGCTATGTATATATTAGCGCATAAGTGTGTATGTATATGGGTGTGTGTGATATAAATACATGTGTTCAAATTGGCGCACAGAATACATACGCACATTAACAGTTTTTTTTTGTACAGTGTACAGGTCATTTTTTGACATATAATACATTAACATATACATTAGCATATACATTAACATATATATTAACATATACATTAGCATACACATTAACATATACATTAACATATACATTAACATATACATTAGCATATACATTAACATATATATTAACATATACATTAGCATACACATTAACATATACATTAACATATACATTAGCATACACATTAACATATACATTAACATATACATTAACATACACATTAACATATACATTAACATATACATTAACATATACATTAGCATACACATTAACATATACATTAACATATACATTAGCATACACATTAACATATACATTAACATATACATTAACATATACATTAACATATACATTAACATATACATTAACATACACATTAACATATACATTAACATATACATTAGCATACACATTAACATTTACATTAGCATATACATTAACATATACACCAACATATACATTAAGATATACATTAACATATACATTAGCATACACATTAACATATACATTAACATATACATTAGCATACACATTAACATATACATTAACATATACATTAGCATACACATTAACATATACATTAACATATACATTAACATATACATTAACATATACATTAACATATACATTAACATACACATTAACATAGACATTAACATATACATTAGCATACACATTAACATTTACATTAGCATTTACATTAACATATACATCAACATATACATTAAGATATACATTAACATATACATTAGCATACACATTAACATATACATTAACATATACATTAACATAGACATTAACATATACATTAACATATACATTAACATATACATTAACATATACATCAACATATACATTAGCATATTCATTAACATATACATTAACATATACATTAACATATACATTAGCATACACATTAACATATACATTAACATATACATTAACATATACATTAACATATACATTAACATATACATTCACATACACATTAACATATACATTAACATATACATTAACATATACATTAACATAGACATTAACATATACATTAACATATACATTAACATATACATCAACATATACATTAGCATATTCATTAACATATACATTAACATATACATTAACATATACATTAACATAGACATTAACATATACATTAACATATACATTAACATATACATCAACATATACATTAGCATATTCATTAACATATACATTAACATATACATTAACATATACATTAACATAGACATTAACATATACATTAACATATACATTAACATACACATTAACATAGACATTAACAAATACATTAGCATACACATTAACATTTACATTAGCATATACATTAACATATACATCAACATATACATTAACATATACATTAACATATACATCAACATATACATTAGCATATTCATTAACATATACATTAACATATACATTAACATATACATTAGCATACACATTAACATATACATTAACATATACATTAACATATACATTAACATACAATGGTTACATAGTTGGTCGTCCCATCATCACAAGGCCTGAATGAACAGCCTGATGCTTTCAAGCGAGGCATGCAGCGTTTGACCTGCAATTCCATGGGGGACATCGACCTCGTGGTCTCTGAAACGAGCCCTGGCGATGCGGTCTGTGTGGAAACTCCAAGATATCTTCAGCAAAGATGATTTAATGGTGAGTTTATGGGAATAGTGGAGTTTTAATGGTGATTTAATATGATTTAATGGGATTTGGTGAACCATTATTAATCTGGTTGGTGGTTTGGAACATGGCTTTATGACTTTCCATATATTGGGAATAATCATCCCAACTCCAGCGGTATATTCCATTTTCCAACCACATCCCCTCAATGAGTCACATCCAATACTGGACGAATTCATTTTTGTTTGGCAGATGGTTTGAAGATGTTCGAAGCTATGCAATACCGTTTGCTGATGAAATCCCAAGATATTTTAAGTTTCCCGTAAAATCAAACATGACAATGGAACATACCTGTAAAAAAATATCCCATTAATGTCCTCCATTGATGGGGGATTTCCAAAGATGTTGACCATCTGGTTATTTCACATAGCCATGGAAAATCACAATTTTTAAGAACGGTAAACCATCTATTTCGATTAGGGCCATCTATCCCATGGCTATGTTAGTCAACCAGAGGCTAATTACATAGGTTCCAGACATGTTTAGATCATTTTCCCAGATTGAAACCTCCCATTTCGACTGGGATTTCCAGCCGATTGATCAGCTCTCCGCGGGGCCCAGGTCGACGGAAGATCTCTTTGAACCTGGGCGCAAAATGGGAACCGTTCTGGGAAGCCACAAGGTTTGGCTGTGGACTGCCAATAGCTATGTTTTTGTAGTTTTGTGTGGTTGTTTGGGTGTTTATATATAACTATGATATAATATAATATAATATATATATATATAATTTATTTATATATTTATATGTATTATGAATATAATTATATAATATAATTATATAATCACACACACACACATATATATATATATGTGCGCCTGTGTGTGTGTGCATAAAGTTCTACATGGGAACATAGACTGTATGACATATGTAAGGGAGCATACATGATATACTGTGCTACAAATATGGGCGCCATGATGGGCCACGAGGAAGACTCAAAGGTAGGAATGTAGACAGACTGTAGCCCCACGACAACTTCAACGTTTGATGAATTAAAGATGAGTAATGTCAGTAAAGCAATAATAAACCATCCGCAAATTGACCATCTTTCTGGGTGGTATAAACCATGACACATTCATATCATATATAAATATCGCAGTGTGATATCCCATATTACTCTTATATTTCATCACTAGTTATTAGTTTTTGGTGGTTAATACGATGTTTGAGGATGTCTGAGGATTCCATTATTCCATCAATTATTAGTTTTTGATGACATATCATGTTTCCAGCAATTACTATGATGTGTTTCTTTTAATGTGGGTAAAGCACTAATAAACCACCCATTTGGGAATGGTTTAGACCACCTATTTATGGTGATGACATGTGATGACTAGGGAATGGTTTATGATTGTTTTACCCATATTAATTAGTAATCCTCATATTTCATCAACTGTGATATCCCATATTTCCAATATATCTCATCAATATTCAGCAATAGTCATAAGTTTTTGATGATTAATAATTCAATAATCCTCATATACGGAAGTTTCCTAGAATGGGGGTACCCCCAGTTCTCATCCATTTATAGATTGGATTTCCCATTATAAACCATCCATTTTTGAGGATCCTAAAGGGGACCTATGGTTTTCCCATGGCTTTCCTATGGCTTTCCTATGGTTTTTGGATGTTTTTTGGGGTAGGACACCACCATATTTCACTCTTCCACAACGAGGATTCTCTCCGCAGCGACCCGGCCTTTCGCAGCCTGCTGCGGAAAACGCCGCTGCTGGTGCCGCAGCGCGGCAAGCGCGCGCAGACGGTGACGCTCGGTCTGAGCCACGAAACAATGGTGAAACACGGTTAATAAAATGCAAAAGATATGATGCGCCATGGTGAAAAAGTGTTTTTGTTTAAGATATTAATTGGAACATGGTGAAAAAATGTGTTTTAAATTGTTTTGAAACATATTGAAAAATGGTGGACAATAATGAAAACCTCGGTGAAACATAGTATAATTATATAGAGGTTTTTGGGCACGGCACGGAGCAGAGAGATTTTTGATCTTGATTGGCAGTTCTCAGGCGGCATACCAGCTGATGATGGAGTGACAAACGTGTAGTGCCACAGTGCCTCTGGTATCCTCTGGTTCCTTTGTTTTGTTTTTTATCTGTCTTCCAGGTTTTGTTCCTGTAGCAAAGGGCAGAATGGTTTCATCATTCATTGGATTGGTTTCAGTGACAAATTCCGGGAAAAAAATAGATGTTACATTGTAAGTTACAGTATTTGATGGGGTTGTCTCCATGAGAAACCCATGGGTTTCCTCTTGATTTACCATTTTTTTCCACCGGGAAAGCCACCCAACCCAACCGGTGAATTTCCCAGCCGCCGGTGCTGAGGAAACTCATCTTCCCAGAGGTCACCCGAAGCCTGTTCTCCCGAAACCTGGAATCATGGTTAGTAAGGGGAATCATCCCCAAATGGCCGAACTATTCAGCTTAGTGAAATAATATAATTTACCCATATATATATATATTATGGTAAGTATGATCTATATATATATATACATACCGTGTATATATATATATAGCATTCTGGAAACACGTTTCTTTATATTTGTTTTTGGGTTACTATGTTAATTCATAAACCGTTATGCCACAATGCAACATGTTTCATCAGTTTCGAAGCTATGGTGTTTGTATTAAATCCGCTTGGTTCCTTGTCATTTGCATCTATGATACATAAGTGCTGCAAGCCGCGCAGAAGTTTGCGAGATACATCCCTACAGTTATGGCCATTTACCAGTTATAAGTGGTTATAAATGGGATTATACATTCTATAAATGGGGTTATAAGTACTTATAACTGGTAAATGGCCATAACTGTAGTATTTTGTGTTCATCGGCGATATTTTGAGTTTGGTTGTATCTCCGCTAAAGTCATCCCCGAGTTAGTAAGCACTGGTTCATCAATTAGGCGGTATCCCGCCAAATAGTGATCATCCATGATAATCGGCTACTCCAATCATACTCCTTGACTAATGAAACAACCCAGTGGGTAACTAATCCGTGGTTGACATTATACTTGTGTTTGGTTCGGCTCCCCTTTCTGGTGATGATCTCTCTTTTTGAGTGGCTTTAGTCCTCATTTACGGTCCTACGATTCACTATCTTGGCAGTTAAAGACGAAATTGTGTTATGAACTCTGGCGTAAACGTTCATACACGCACACACACATATATATATATATATACACACATGCAGTTTAACTTTCGTGTGACATAGTTGTCCACGTTTTCCTACACTGCACCCACCAAAAAAATGGAGGCTTCAGTGGACATCACCAGCCTGGCGGACAGGCGGAGATATGCGGAGATGGGGCATCTCCAAATATGTGGTCAACAAAAATTACCGGAAATGACTCACATAGCTATTGAAAATGGTGATTTATAGTTGAAATTCGTTGATGTACCCATTAAAATGGTGGATCTTTCCATAGCTATGTGTTACATTACCAGAGGGTACATGAATTACCGTTCAAACAATGGTTTAATGATTATATATACCTATTTGTCAACTATATGTTGAACTCTGTTAAAACACCCCCGAAACGAAACCATGGTAGATGTCGGGAATTTCCACATCATTGGGACCGTGTGTCATGAGAGTGGGAATTTACATCCCCTTTTGCGACGACGGATGAGTAGTTTAATCCTTTGGTGTTTGGTGACAAATGGAACATACTCGTACCCTCTGGTAAACTAACATAGCTATTGAAAATGACCGTAGATAGTGGATTTGCCCATTAAAAATGGTGATTTTCCATAGCTATGTTAGTTTACCAGAGGGTAACCAGAAACAGCACAAGATTATTGTTTTGTGGATTACCAAAGGTTGACCATGTATATGAGGAATATTCCAAAGGGAAACAATGGGGATGTAACCAAATTCATAGGGGAATAATCCCGTCCTCTCCCTACAAAAAAGAAACACTCAAGAAATCAAGGCGGATGTAGGGGATAAAGCGAAACATACCCTCTGGTAAACTAACATAGCTATTGAACATGGCAATTTATAGTGAGTTTTCCCATTAAAAATGGTGATTTTCCATAGTTATGTAAACGTTTACCAGAGGGTATTTGGGACCATATAATTCTGGGGTTTGTTCCAAAAACGGATCGGTGGGATTTTTTCTTGAGACTGACAGGTTGGACCGTGTTGGGCTGTTGGACCCAGAACGGATGGAACCATTTGAAGACATCCATTGATGGTGAAGTGTACAATACTAGGCTTTAACCAATTGGAATTTGTCGGTCTTTGATAAAATTAGATAAATTAGGAAAAAATATAAATAAATTCACCCATCCGTTTGCTTAATTTGAACCTTCTGTGTGCAATTCATGGTGAAGTCATGTAAAAACCATGGTGATATTCCCCGTGAAACCATTCCAGTGAACCATGGGGCTTTCCGCCGTTTTTAGGTGGAAGCAAAGCGATTCCACAGGCAATGGGCCCATGCGGGGTGGCTGTTGCTGACTTTCTGGAAGATTTGGAAGTAGATTCCCTCACTATGCAAGGTGAGGCCCCACATTCATGTTTGTTGGTTTATATATATATATTTGTTTTTCATAAACCCCATCAATACTCTAGTCATATCCCCCATGAGCCTTAGTTAACTATAGTTACATTGCTTTCCGACACCTGCCACAGATGGGGACCCTGCCGCCTGACATCTCAATTCTTGGGCCATGGGCTGAACAGGAATCACTGGTTCACAGGCAGGTCATGTTTCACCCCCATTCACCATGCTGACATGTCATGGACCAAAGAATAACTCCCAACTTTCTTTTCCAACATCTTCCAAACTTTCTTTTCCACCATGATCATCCATTTTTTTGGGACGGCAGAATGACAACCTTGCCCCGTGCCCGATGGCCACCTGACAGCCTTGCAGGTGAGGAGGAGCTCTTAAGGGAAGATAGTCATCATCGCGTGGCCCGGCTGCGAGTTGCTGTGCCGATCATATGAACGCTCCGTAGTCGAATAGATGTATACCATATATATGTATATATGTATGTGTGTGTGCGTGTGTGTGTGTGTGCGTGTGTGTGTGTCTGTGTGCGCAGGCATGTGTGTACATTTACATATATACATATATGTGTACATATTTATAGACAGTATATGTATGCGCGCATACTGTTTGCATCTAAGAATCTAGTTATCTACCTGTAGGCCATGATGGGAGTTGCATGCTGATGAATAGACAACTTCTGTAAACCAAGGACACAACCTTCAATTCGATGTATTTGGAGGTTTGCGGGCAGGGCTGCTTCGGTGTCATCGTCAGTGGATATTTCAAAATAAGTGAAGTTGCACCTTGCAGCACAGCATTGAAAACCGATGTTGAACTTTAAAAACTGGTCATATTGTGCATCAAAAGGCACATCCTTCCAACAGCAGGATAGCTGCACACCTTTTGGGGCAGGTTGGCCTACCAGTGCGGGGGGTCATTCACTTTTCACGGGTACCCCAGTATCGTTTGAATGGGTGGAATATGGACGGATTCGACATGTTGGAACGCAGCTGGGCTTCTCAGCGAGGATGAGCAGTGGCACACCTCAGCTCAATGGGTGGATAAATTGCAGATAAAATCTGGAACTCAGAGGGATAGTTTTTGATAAACATACACAATATTACACATGGATGGGGATGGCAGCGACTGCAAAAAGCCATGAACGTGGGCAGTTGGATGACTGCATTGACATTTGGCAGATTTTGGGTTCATCGATCACCGTGAGTATTGGTGGGATTGCCAACTGGTGTTGGATTCAACCCCCCAATTCTCTTGTTGGATAGTGAAAAATGAATCACAAGTTACAGTCAGTGACATGGGCCATCAGTCTCAACAAGCAACAGTAACAGCTGGTTGGTGGTTTGGAACATGGCTTTTATTTTTCCATATGTTGGGAAGAATAATCCCAACTGACTTTCATTTTTTTCAGAGGGTTGAAACCACCAACCAGACAGTCATTATATCCCATAGGATCCATGTATGCTATATATGGTAACATTTACCATCAATATACCCCAAATGTTAGCATATATACCATACATGGATCCTATGGGTATGGGTGTGTGCCAAGATGCACCAAAATAAACATTGAAACCATTGTATGCTGCAAGGTGATGCCTCCCAGTGAGAAAAGTTGGTTTCTAAAGCCCATGAACTAATATTGACTATCGATATAAGTAGCATAAATCCAATATTGATAGTCAACTAGTATTGACTAATATTGACTAACTAATATTAACTATAAATATTGACTAATAGTGATATAAATCCTAGTTAACCTGCTTTTAAGCCAACTTAGCTAACTATGGGGTACCCCCTGGTTTGGTGGTGCTTGGCACCCCAAGTTTGGCCACAGGTGGAGACCGAACAGGTGTTTGACCCCAGCGGTGGGGTGACGCTTGGCAAATGAATAGGTTACCAAATTGGAGACAAATCATCAAATCCCATCAATGGTATATAAATGTATTCAAAGGGTATATAATGGTGTGTATATATATATATATAGAATGGGTAACAATCAATGAATACTGTGTGAATACGTTGCGAATACTTTGCGAATACCATACCTTGAATAGATTGAATAGGCTCTAGGACCATGGAATTTGGTTACCATACCTCGTTTTCATGGGAGTGGCTCTTAGCCGCCAGGGAACTCTCTAATCTTTAGAAACTTTAAAAGACAGAAATACCCAGTCGCTTTGTCCTCTTTCAAAAAATATTGAAAGAGATAGTATATATAATACCCAGTAGTTTTTGTTGATCATTGGTGAATTAATCATTGGTAACATTAGTGGTTAATTCCATTGGTGAATTGGTCCCCCAATGGTACTCACCAATGGAATAGATCAATTGAATTCCATTGATATAGTACAATAGATACTACCAATTCGTGAATTCCATTGATCTCCATTAGTTAACCATTGGTGGATTCACCAATAGTTAAATCATTGGTTAACCAAGACCATTTTTGTAATTAGGTATTCCCTGTATTCAATGGTTATTCAAAGGGTATATAAATGCTGGTTGGTGGTTTGGAACATTTTTTATTTTTTCCATATATTGGGAAGAATAACCCCGACTGACTTTTATTTCTAATATTTTTCAGGGGGGTAGGTCAACCACCAACCAGATTATGATTATCCATCATCAACCATATAATAACAATTTATATTGATCATTAATATGAATAAGTATATTACCAACCAATGGTAGGTTGAAACCACCAGTTATTAAGATTTATTAAGCATTATCAGCCATGATTAACCATTATTAACCACAAGAAAAACCACTATTTCAGAGGGGTAGGTAGGTCAACCACCAACCAGATTATTATTAACAATCATTCACCATATATAATAACCATATATAATAACCATTCATATTAACCATTCATATTAATAGTATATTACCAACCACCAACCACCTTAAATAGAGGGGTAGGTATACCACCAACCAGATATAAATATCCACCAACCAGATATAAATATCCATAACCCAATGTATTCACCAGTTAATTCCATGGATCCCTCCCTTTTTTCGAGGTCAGATCTGTCTCGGGGTCTGGTGCGTTCGCCGCACCCGCTGGGCCCGGCGGCCTCCTTGCAGGAAGATCCGGTGCCTTAAAAAACGGCGACCACCCGGGAGATCCCCAAAAGTGGTACCTTAAGAATCCTTAAGATACAGCAAGATACACCAAGGTATGATTTCCTCCAGGTTTTTTTGGGGGGGTCATTCCTTTGTTTTTCCCCACCTGCCAGGTGAGGGTTGTTAGATTTTATGTCAGTTGCCTCCTCCTCCTGCCTCGTCCTCCTCTCCTCCTCCTCCTCTCCTCCTCGTCCTCCTCGTCCTCCTTGTCATCCTTGTCGTCCTTGTCGTCCTCGTCGTCCTCGTCGTCCTCGTCGTCCTCGTCGTCCTTGCTCAACTGCGACCCGCGATCCACAGCGTTCTCTGCCGGACCTCAACCACGACCACCCACGCCCAGTGTTCCCTGCCGGACCTCATCTGCGAGTATCCATGCCAAGTGTTCCCTGCCGGACCTCAACCGCGAGTATCCATGCCAAGTGTTCCCTGCCAGACCTCATGTAGGAAGATATGGGACAAAGAATGTGCAGAAGAAATTACTTTACTTCGTGTGATCCCCAGCATGACATTTATACATGTTCTTACTGGCACATCTTCTGGCATTCTATCTGACATATCTTCTGACATTCTATTTGGCATTCTATCTGGCATATCTTCTGGCATTTTCTTGTGGCATTCTATCTGGCAAATCTTCTGGCATTCTATCTGGCATATCTTCTGGCATATCTTCTGGCATTCTATCTGGCAAATCTGATGCATTCTATCTGGCATATCTTCTGGCATTCTATCTGACATATCTTCTGTCATTCTATCTGGCATTCTATCTGGCATATCTTAGTTGAAATATACCGACCCCTGAGCCCCACTATGTATAGCATAGGTAGTAGGTCATGTGTAGAGCACTGCCGTAGCTATGAGAACCAATAGTCCGAAGTAGGACACCTCAATGCATGTACAGTTAACACCCCTTATCTAGAAGCGTTAGATAGGGATGGTAGTCGTAGGTTAGAGCATGATGCCCAGTAATTAATACCCTAACAACTACCAGGGTTTAATCGGTCATGCATGCGACGCCTACATGGCTCAAGCGCACAAAACAGTGTGTGCTTGGATGTTTTGTTTACAGGGTTTGGCGGATTGGTTGTTCCCCTATTTTTGGGTGCCCGGTTCGACCCCCTGTTTGTCTGGTTATCAGCCGTAAGGCTTGTTTTTTTCTGTTGGTTGGGGAACCTAATCCGTCAAACTTTGTTTAGGCCCTAACACTTTTCGCACTTTCACTGTTCCCGTCGTGCATGCCCTCAGAAGAGTCGGAAGAGGTCGCAGCTGATCACAGCGCGACTGAGACAACACCAGTGGGTGGATCCGAGGTGGCTGGCGAAGCAGAAGGTGTTGAGGAAAATCCTCCACTGACTGTTGACCCGGTAGCTGAGGACTCCAGAAACTGGGCCGACCTGTCTGAGGTATTGGAGGAGTCGACCGCGCCTTCTGATCAGGTAGCAACTGCTGAACTTGTCCCCGTGAAGGAGGAGGAGCAGGAACTACAGGAGGCTCAGTCGTTGGGTGCAGTTTTATCAGCAATAGGTCTGCCAGAGGAGGTCGCTGACGAGCCCGTCGCGACGGAGGAGAGTGCACTGGACTTTGAACAACCTTCAGATCAACCATTTTTGGAAGAACCGCTTCAAACGGACAATCCGGCCGAAGCTGCTTTCACGGACATTGATCGCGCAAAGGAGGAACAACAAGATCCAGATCATCCTTCTCCGGTACCTTCTCCTGACCAGGCCGAGTGCGAAGCTGAAACAACAGATCTTTTAGGTTTAGGTGACGAGGCAGGTCCAGTAGGAGAAGCATCCGTTGCATCCGAACCATCTGCATCCGTGCCTGAGCCTGCGGTCGCTGACGCATCCGGTGCCGCGACAGAAGCCAACACTAGTTGCCCCGATCAAATAGTCCCACCACCAACTAGCCCTAATCTTGTTGACCCAGGTGCCGATCCTATCCAAGTAGGACATTCCCCCGCTAGTTCATCAACAGCCCACCGACCAAGGGTTCGATCCAGCAGGGGCGGTGCCACGACCAGGTGGCAAGAAGCAAAGCGAGCTTGGTGGAACGACTTCGAGGCATATCAAAATTGGCTTTACCATAACTCCGGAGGGGATATTGTAGGTGGCTTTTGGTTAAGAAAGATTTCTTACGAATACGCCGACGAAAGCACTCGCTGGTTGATAGCTCTTCATTCAAGACTTGTTGAGGAGTTCCCAACATCACAGTGTTTAGCTTTGGCCTACCAGATCCTCATCCCTTACAAAGAGTGGGCTCACACCTACGGTTTGGACAGGCGTAGAGGTACATCACACGCTGAGCAAGTGATAAACTCTGGTGAACTACCCCCAAAAAGGATCATCAATCAACGCATCTTAGGGGCAGAGCACCCACGCCCAGAAGAGTGGGATAGGTATTATAGATACGTAGGCCCACAGCAGCAACCCCACCCAAAAGTGGAAAGGCCTGCTGCCGCAACACCCGTTGCTGGCGCGGCAAGTGGAAGCGCAGGCCCAACTCCGGTCCAGCAAGGACCCAAGGAGCCTGGGCACCCACCGCCAAACTGGCAACCTTCTTTGAGAAGGCCACCTGAGCCAGCAGTCCCTCCACGTCCAAGGGTTACTGTCTCTGTCCATCCGGTCCCACAAGCCCCAAAGTCAGATTCTCAAGGGGTCGCTGCCTCTGGGCGCGACGTAGCACCAGTCCCAGCTGCTAGCCCTGCTAAGCCACCAGCTAAAGCTAGGCCTAAAGCTCCTGATTCTAGTGCCACGACCCTTGCAGATAGGATTCAAAGTTTGCCACCTCCACCTAATAACATTCCCCCTAGTCCGACCCTTCATAAGCAACCACCTTTACCACCACCACCATCTCATCTGCCGCCAACTGCACAGGAGCTCGCTGCCCGCAGTTCCCAGCCAGCAGAGGCGCGAGAAGAGGCTGCTCCGGAGGGTCCCAACGATCCACCGCCTGAAGAGGAGCAGTGGGTGGAGGAGGAAGAGGAAGAGGAAGCATTGGAGGAGGACGAAGTGGTTGAAGTTGAGGTTGAGGCCGAAGGTGAACCTGAATTCCCTGACTTTACAACAACTGAACACGGCCGTGAGGTTTCCACGCGCCGTCGTAGGCCTAAAAGAACTAGGTCCAATCCGCCATTGCCTGTCAATCTAGTCCCAAGGGAAACCCGTGAACGAATCGAACTTAGTCAAGAGCTTTATAGAGCCCGTGCCATAACCGGTGTTTCTAGAAGACCTCTTGCTTTAAGACCCCAAGTGCACGGTTACCCCGAAATTAGAATTGACTCCGCTGGCACCTGGGCTAGGGTCGCTGATCCTCCGATCGCGTACGCGCCGCAGACTTTGCCGTTCATTGTGCCGCACGCCGTGGCACCAGAGCTTGGGGTCAACCCGCACGAGCTTCCCGACTCGTTGTGGCGTGATCCTGCACTTAGATCCCATCGTACTGTTCTTGGTTCAAGTAATTTAGACCCCAACAGTGTTTATAATCTTGATACCAATAACCCCGGTACTGAATCTGAGGGCTCTGAAACTGCCGATACTCGAACCGCCAGGTTTGTTTCATCAGGTCAGGCATTTGTCGGCCAGCAAGAACCTTTCGACGCTGGCTTCGCTGAGCGCACCCCTGCCCGTCCAATTGAGTCTCCACCAAAGAGACAGCGTCCTAACATAAGAACCTCCCGAATCCAACGTGATAAGCCGGCACAGCCCAGAAAAGATCCAGTTTCTGCTGCACCACCACCTGCAGCCCCAACAGTACCATCTTTGACTGTTCCCCCATTAAGCGGTTCTAGTAGTTCAGCTTATCCCTGGAGGCAATCTTTGCAAGGTGCTGGAACTGGGGTCGCTGACACAGCCCGTGTCGCGACAGAGACCGTATCAGAGCCAGCCGGCTCTCCCGTTGCACGATCCAGGTCAAGAGCACCCTCAGCCGAAACTGCGCCCGCAGTTGCTGCCAGACAAAGGGGAAGGGAAGTACCAATTTCCAATAAGATTTCATCTAAATCTAAGTCTCGCAAAAGAGCTAGTTCCGTTCCTGTGCCAATCCGTGCAAAGGGGGCTGCTGTCCCCGACACGCCCCAAAGGCCTGAACCGTTGCCACCAGCTCCAGAGAAAAAGAAGAATCTGCCTTGGAAACATCCACCTGTGAACATCGGGCCTGCGACACCCGTTGCACCTGTGGCACCTGCTGCACCCGCAGCACCTGTGGTAATTCCCCCAAGACCTAATAGGCCTGTTCCCCCTAATCCAGCTAGCCTTAAGCCTGTAAAACCTCCTCCGCCAGGAGTTGGGGGGCCAAGACCTGCCGGTCAACCGTCCCGAGATCCTCCTCCACTTGATCCCGAAGGACAGCAGCAGACGCAAGAGCAAAGCTCAGGTTCTGGCCTTGCACCCCACGTCCGTGGGCGGCCTTTGCCTGACCCAACACCAGATCGGCCTGAGGGGGTCGCTGGCTCTGTGCCGCGACATTACCAGCATCAACCCAACTTAGTCTCTAAGGTAGTCCACGTTAATACATCCAACGTAGTTGTTTGTATCGACTGGCACGATACCATTGACCAGGCTCTCAACGCCGTAGGTGAATTGTCTTCCCGCTTAGTTGATAAGTTTCGGTCATTGACTAGGAGTGCTGGTAATCAAATTGAGTTCCACATTGTCTCATACGCCGGCCAATCCAAGATTGAAAGCACCAAGGCCGGTGCTGAGCACGTGATTAGCCAGCTCATTGCGGAAGGATTGCCGTTTTGAGAAGTGCACCTGGCACGCTATCCTTGCGGTAGGCAGGGCAAATCCTCGATCATCTCCGCTCTTCAGGCACATTGTCTCATCGACGGCCGTTCTGACATCCTGAACGAGTGCAGGCAACTCGGCATCAAAACCATCCGCTCAGAGGGGCGTTCAGACAGGGAACTCTGCTGGATTGCGGAGGTAGAGGACTGGCTACGTCTTGAAGGGGTCGCCCAGATCCTGGAGAATCGC